GACCCGGGCAGGCTGTGTCAGACAGAAATACGGGCTCATTGATGCTGTCATAGTTACGATGGGCCCTGCGAGGGGCTGAGCAGCAAGCTGCTTGAAATACCATAAATCCCAGCTCCCAGTGCTGAGAGAGATTGAGCCTGGAGGGGTAGAAGGGGCATAAATGCGTCCTTTTAGTGGTATTCGGGTGCTCACAGATCTCAGTCTCCTTCTGGGTGTGCTTGTGTGGAGAAGGTTACATTAACTCTTTCATGGCCACAGTGTTGCCACGGCACCCATGGTCTCAGATCTCACCCTTACTGGTGTCACCATGAAACCCCTCAAACAGCAGCAACACAGCAGGGCCATTTGTTACTCCCCTGCACTGTCTGAGTGGGAATTCGGGGCCTGAATTCCAAACCCAGCATGGCTACTCACTCACTTGGCTCTGTGCCTCAGTTTCGTCTTAAGTCAAACCAGCATCAGATACTACGGTTGGGGTGAATTTATTAGCCAGAGACTAATTTCATCAGCCAGGGCCTTTTCGCTCTCTCCTGCACATACCTTCTCGGGGAAATCAGGTTGGAGATGAAGATCATCAAGGGCTCCAGTGGCACCCCAAAGCTCAGCTACACAGGGCGTGATGACCGGCACTTTGTACCCATGGGCCTCTACATCGTCAGGACAGTGAATGGTGGGTGAGGAGGGACTGTTCCTGCCACTCCCTCCCCTCTTCCCCCTTCCCCCCTCCTCGCCAGGTGATGGGCCCAGATGCTGCCTGAGCCAGAGCTAAGGTCTCACTGCTAAGGTGGGTAGCAGCCAGGCTGGCATTTCTCTGAGGTACATGTTAGGGGACAGTGTTCCCTGAGCCTCTCCTGTTCTTCCATGGGCCCTGGGAGTTGGGTAGGGAATAGTGAGAGAGCTCAACTTGTACACATGCACGTGTTGTTCTCATGGCAGGAAAAGGGCCTTTTCAGCAGACGGCAGCATGTCCAGAAAGTCAAGCTTGGCTTCTGTCCATTTGCATCCCCCTTTCTTCAGAGCCCTCTGGCTGAGAGTCCTAGAGATGTTACCCTGATAGCTGGTTGGCAGGATTGGGGTGGGGTCATTGAGAAGTCATTACTTGGTCATTCTCCTGGAGCCACTTTGGGCTGGTGATGAAGGCTGCCACCTCATGGGCTGTTCCCTGCCTGCTTTTGTGGGGAGGCAGGAATAGGACCACCAGGAGTGGAGAAGGGCACGCACCTGTCCTCCACAAGTGCTGTGTGTCCCTTCTGGGTTTCATCCCCTCTTGCTCCCGTCAGAGCCCTGGACTATGGGATTCAGCAAAAGCTTCAAGAGGAAGTTCTTCTACAACAAGAAAACCAAGGACTCTACTTTTGACCTCCCTGCAGACTCTATTGCCCCATTTCAGTAAGTAGCTGTTCTCCAAGCCTGCCCTCCTTAGCAGCCTCAAATACTCCTGCAGAATGCTAGCCAGCTGTCCTGGGGCACACCCTGGGTTCTGACACTACTGCCCACCAGGGGTTCCACTGAGCCTGAGAACACCTTTGTGGGGATGGCAGCCCCCTGCAGGTGTGGCTGGGCATGATGCCTGGACCTGCTGTGATAGCTGGGGGCCTGGCTGTGGAGGACCCCTCTGGGTAGCATATTCACTCCATGGAGCAGCCACGTTTCAGTGACATTCTGACGCTGGCCTGATGGTGGGAATATACTGAGGGCCCACAGCCCTGCCCCTTGGCGCTCAAGGTCCCAGCTGTCCTTTTTAGGACCCAGTGTCCATTAGACTGTTGGTCATGGGCTTCCCCAGCAGCCCTCATGTGCCTGTAGTTAGCCACTGACATTTTCTGTCACCACACTACTAATACTGTTCTATTAGAGAAGCACAGACAGATAAAGCAGGAATATCAGTCTTTGTAGGAATCCAGTTGGATGCAATTAGCAGCAACATCTGTTTGTTGGGAAAAGTTGGTTCAGGGAGGCAGGGAGGAGCTGGGGCCTACTGGGTACCTTTTGGCTGCCGGGGGAAGACCCTCAACTAAAGTCATTGACAGACCCCTGCCTCCCACACCTTTAAGAACACTTGATCCTATTCCATCTGGGTGCAGCCCTCTGACCTCTTTGCCCTCCTCCTCCTCCCCAGCATCTGCTACTATGGCCGGCTCTTCTGGGAGTGGGGGGATGGCATTCGTGTGCATGACTCCCAGAAGCCCCAGGACCAGGACAAGCTGTCCAAGGAAGATGTCCTCTCCTTCATCCACATGCACAGCGCCTAAGGGCCTCAGGATGCGCCACCCCTGCAGAGTGTCCTGTCATTCCTGAGACAGGGCCACCTGGGGCCCCCAGTGCTAGCTTCTTCCCCTCTTGAAAAGGGACCTGGGAGCATTGCACCTGGCATGAGGAGTGGGTGGCCTCCTCTCCATCCCCTGAAGAGCTCAGGCAGGGCCCTGCAGAGGACACTCCCATGTTCCTTCTGGGACACCTGCCTGGGAACTTTCCCCTGCCAGGACTCAGCCTGAAGGAAGCTGCTCCTGAGGCAGGTGTGAGGTCAGTGCCTAGGGCACGTGGGCTGATGGAGGACACGTCAGAGTAGCAGAGCTGTGGGCTCTCTATTCTCTCCTGCATCCTGTAGACTCACTTTTCTGAGTTCCATGCACTGCCCCTGAGGGTAGCCATGCCCTTGTTTTGCCCAACTTTTTATTGGGCCATCCCTGAGTAGGCGGAGGCCTGCTGTTGTGAGCTGGCCAGGAGAACCTGCTGTAAAAAATCAAGGTTTTGTTTCTTTGAACTTACCATTTTGATGCCAAGTTGGAGACGATATTCTTGTCTCCTCCCCCCACTCATCCTGGCCGTCGCTGGAGTTCTTCCTGGCCCAGAGCTCGACAGTCCAGCAAGGTGGGAAGGAGGGAGTGTAGGCCTCACGTCCTTGACACCACGTTGAGATCCCGGGAGCCCTCTCTTTAGTACCGAGTATGGAGTTGTAGAGCCGTCCTGGGCCCCATCCCCTTTTAGTCCAAACATTGGGCAGCGCTAGAGGGCAGGAGGCAGCCTTGAAGACCTGTCTTTCTCTCCCCCACAACAGTGGCCCCACCAGTAACAAAGGCACCTCTAGGGGTTTGGGTGGTGCTGCCCTCTGGCAGTCATGCACCACCATCTGCCATAGCCACCCTAAGGTCTTGGCAGAATTCTGAGCTGGAAATGCAGCTCCCTTGCTGCCCTTTCCCGTTTTTCTTCCCTAATAGGAGGTACAGTCTGCTTTTGTTTGTCGTTACATGGTCACTCCCATTTCCTCTATCTTGGTGGAGGCAGAGAGGATGGGAAGCTGGGCAGTAGCTCTGGGTGGGGGAGGGCACCTGTGGTTGTTTCTAATGGGAAATACCTCTCAGAGATGTTCATGCAGGCTCCCTTGGGCCCCATTCCAGTGCCAGGCTGGTTTCCATGGAGATAGGGCACCGAGGCTCCTGTGAGGTTGGAATCGACTTCACCGTGGGGGTCCTTCAGCCAGCATCCAGCTTCCCACCCCCAGGCTGGCAGCAGCACTGCTGAGATGCTGTATTTCCACCCAATCCTGGGTTTATCAGTGTGTCTTGCAGAATCTTGGATCATTAAAGATAAACATATTTTTAATGCTTGTGTGGCTCTGTGTTGGGGCTGCTATTTGTCCTCAGTGCTTTGTGGTCTGGGACTGGCTTGGATGAAACAGCTTGGGTCAGAGGTGAAGGAGAGGCAGCTCCACTCATAGCAGAGGAGAGAAAAGAGGGTTTGTTTAATCGGAGCCTGTCCAAGCTTCTGGGGCCCTGCAGGGCTCCCAGGCCTGCTGCTTGCTGCTCAAGAAGGGGCCTAAAGAGTTGGGGGAAATTATGGCAGGGACTGCAGAATGAATGAACGTACAGCCCCAGGAGGGCAGAGACACCTTCCCCCGTTACATAAATCATGCAGCTCACTCTGTGGTGGCACCGTGACAGTCCAGGATCAGTCTGTGTGACCAAAATAACAGAGGCGTCAGACCAATTAGTGTCACTAGACTGGGGGGAAAGAGGGAGGGAGAGATGGTTTCACTGACCCTCGCCTGCCTTCCCTTGGTGGAGGGCTGGTTCTGTTTGCAGTGGGTGGGGGAAGGGGGGAGGGGGGCTGTTCCTGGGGGTGGGGGATGCAGATGCAGCAGGCACCTCCTTCTCTGTTCCGGGGTGGTTTCTCCATCAGTTAGTCATCGTGCTGGTGCTGGTTCCCCAACAAAACCCAACTGCACTTTGCTGGCCTTCCTCGTTCTGGCCCCGAGTCCTTTGTGGATGGCCTTAGCAACTCCTTCTCTTGTTTTTCCTACTTAATTGGTTTCATCTTCGGCATCCACGCCCTTCCTCTGTTCTGCCTTGCTTCAGCCTCCCACCTGCTCTCCTCCTTATTCCCAAGCTAGGAGTTAGACATGCGGGGTGGAGGGATAAAGGGGCATGTCTGACTTTGCAGTTCCTGCCACAGCTCCCCCTCTGATCAGCCCTACCCCTGCTTCTCACTACACACCCCAGCTGATTTACTGGCCACTGTCACCGTAAGTCTGTCTGGTCATTACCATGACTCTGCTGCCCACTCGCAGCCTCCCCAGCCTTGCCTGCCTATCGAAGATGGATTAACTCCGCACTCCCCCGGGATCGCCACATGACCACTTCAAGTCCCCAAGCCGCCCTTCACTGCAGACTGCATTTTTTCTGCCATAATTACAGGCAATGGCACTGACTGGAGGTTACAGTAGTGTGTGGTGGGGGGATGGACAGGTGGCACAACGTCTGCTTCTCAGCTCCGGCAGTCCCCGAGCCCTGGAAGTGACTCCCACTCCTAGCCTTGGAAAGTGCTTCCCACTATCTCCTTACTTCCCAGTCAAGCTGGGGGCCTCCTCTCCTCTGAATTGTAAGCTAGAGCTTTCCCTTGAACATCTCTTAATTCCCGAGTGCCACCCCTGCTGCCACCGCCCCCTCCCCACCCCATCCCCCCACTCCCAGCTAGTCAGACCATGACATTTACTCACCAGACAGAAGCAGCTTGGTGTTCTTTATTGCCACCATGTCCTTCTGGAGACACAACCCCCCAGCAGGCCGGGGAGGCAAGGCGGCCTGGGCCGCCAGGAAACTAGGAGGGGGATGTCCTAGCACCTTGGTCCTGTTGAGGCTTGAAGTGCCTGCTTGGCCCTGACCAAGGGGCCAAGTGGAAGCCTGTGCTGGCTGTGGGGAAGTGCCAGGCTCACATGGTCCAGTAGGCATAGACAAGGGTCAGAAGGATGAAGATGGCCACAGACAGCAGCATGTTCTTCCGGTTCTCTTGCCGAAGCAACTTCAGTTCCTTCTCTGGGAGGAAAGAGGGTGATAGGGATGGGACCGGCAGTTTAGGCCCATCCACTGCTCTTCTCTGCCTCTCCAATGAGTGAGTACACACTGCTGAGGGCAGAGATGCCCCCTTCCAGCCACCTCCCCACCCATAAAAATGACCCTGTCCTTAATCTGCCCAAATCATGACACACCTTTTTGGCTACAGAACCAGCCTAATAAAGTCCCGATGCCCAATGCTGCTCAACTCTTGCTCATTAAATGTGGTTGAGGTTGAGGATGAGGTGGGTGGAGTCACCAAAAATGCCACACCTGAAAGCCAGGCTAGGAGGTGGTGTGACATTGCCAGGTGAGTCTGCTCGCCTGTCAAGGGGTTGGGTGTGTTGTGCCCATCATCCACCAACCAGAAACTGAGGGCCCCCAGGGCCTCCCTGGGCCCGCACGTGGAATAGGTGCCAAGTGGGGCTGTTTCCTGAGTCCCTGCCCTCTGTCAGGTGCCCGGTTGAGCAGAATCAAGGGATGCTAAGAGGCAGTTTGTGTCCGTGAGGCAGCTGGTCTTGACTCTAGAGGAAGTTAGTCCTGCTGCTCTGTGGCCCCACTTGTACCTAATTATCCCCTCCAGGTGACATGCAGGTAGGGGGTACTCTGTGAGGGCTAAATTGAGTAGTGGTATGGTTTTGTGTGAAAACTGCTAAACTTGAAGGGAAACTGATGTCCCACCCCTGTCTGTGCTGGGCAGTGGGAGGAGACACCTGCCGAGCTGCTCTGGGCAGGCCAGACAGAGTCCAGGGCCCAGGGTGCACCGGCCCAGCCATGCTGAACTCCAGGCAGGGTGGGTGGATATGCACTACGCCTACGGCATTCATCACACCAGCGCTTCTGGGGGGCTCCCTGCCATCGGAGCCTTCCTGGGGCCAATTCTTGGCCAGGCCTGCCCCCACAGGGGAGAACAGAACAGACAAATCTGAGGAGCACCTTAGAACACGGTCCTCCCCAGCCTTTAGTGGGGAGCCCACCAGCCTGTCAACTGCCCACTAGCAGCCCGCCAGGCCTGGCCTCTACCTGCCTCTGCCCCTAGTGCCCAGAAGGTGGCGGCATCGCTCCACCCACAGGAGCCCTTGCGGTACCCAAGTGGGAGGTTCAGCTTCCTTTACCCATCACTTCCACTGCAGTTTTCCTGGGAGAGTGTGGCAGGGTCGGCTGCACTGGGGTAGGGGGAGGGCAGACTTCCAATGTCTGGGTGAATGAGTGTCTTCTAGACCTGGCCACAGCCACATCCCTTCATCCCACAGAGCAGACAGACCCACAGGCCGTCTCATCCTCCCTTAGAACAAAGGAACAAGCCTGCTCTCCCGCAGGCGGCTGGGCCTAGCATGAGTGTCTGCAGCCTCGGGGGGCTGGCTCCCTCACAAAGGATCCCCTTGGTCCCTGCTGCCTTGTCAGGCTCCTTGGGTTTCTGATCCCTTCGGGCCCTGGGAACTGGAGGCAGGGGCTGGTAACTGAAAGGAACTTTCTTACCGTAGTGGGAGGCTTTGCTCATTAGGCTGTTTTTCTCCTTCTCCAGGGACCTCCTGTGAAGGGGAAGGTGTTTCATGGCCCAAACCTTTACCTTTTTCCCACCTGAGCAGCAGCTGACATGCCAGGTTGGCAGGGCTCGGATCTTGTTTGGGGGGGCATTGAAGCTAAGATATCAGAGACCCAAACCCTCTGCCTCGGGCCTAGTTACTCTGGGGACCCAGGATAGAGACAAGGGGTGGGAGCCTGATGGGAAGGGTGGGGTGGCTGGGCAGGAGCATTACCTGGCCTCTGGGCTCAGATCCCCGCTGTGGAGCCTGGAGTTCACAGCCTCTAGGTCTCTCTGACACTGGGACAGCTTCTTCTCTAGCCCATCGATCTGAAACACAGGCCACAGAGAGGTGGGCTGCTGAGCCTTCAGCTCTCAAAACACTGGGACCTGGAAGCAGGGCCTACAGGAGTCTTCCTGGACAGGTGTCCCCCCGATTGGTTTTGGCAGGGCAGGGCACCCAGGCCCATCTTCCCTGGAGTGTCTTTGTTTTGCTGTCTGCCTACATGGCTCAGCTCTGAGCTGCACAGGACAGTGGCCTAAACCATGCTGGAAACAGCAGTGGGTTTTGCCCAGGGTATCATGGCTGTCCTGACCCTCTGGGCCAAGCACAGGTGGGGGTGGAGAGGAGCAGCGCCTTGGGCTGCTGTCTCCCCAGCATGATGCCCCAGTTGGGCCCACAAAAGGAACAACTAGATCCCTGAACACGGAACGCACCTGCCCCACGAGCGTATCCTAGAGTGACGGAGACGCCGTGAGGAAACCCTGGCTTCCAAACACTCCACACGTGGGGCCGGGTGAGCAAACATCTAGGGGCAACGCAGAGGTGTTTTTCTCATTGACACACTTTGTCTTAATAACTTAGCAGTCCAAGTTGTAAGAATATACATTTTTTCTGTAAGAATCAATAAAAAGTACTGAGAAAAATGCCCAAAAACACCTTTCTTCCTTTCTGACTTCGTTCGTAAGCAAAAACTTTGCCTATCATCAAGGTGGCAAAATAGTTATGTTTTCCCATCTGATTTGATTAGTTTCAGAGATGTGTTCTTGGGGAAATATCTGAGTAGTGGGGAAATGTTTTATAACATATGGGACTGGATTGTCCAAACCTGGGTCTTGGCACCATGCATTTGGCATTGAAAGTCCATCTCCTGGCCAGACACACTGGCTCATGCCTGTAATCCCAGCACTTTGGGGGGCCAAGGAGGGCAGATCACAAGGTCAGGAGATCGAGACCATCCTGGCTAACACAATGAAACCCCATCTCTACTAAAAATACAAAGAATTAGCTGAGCGTGGTGGTATGCGCCTGTAATCTCAGCTACTCAGGAGGCTGAGGCAGGAGAATAGCTTGAACCTGGGAGGCGGAGGTTGCACTGTGCCACTGCACTCCAGCCAGAGCAAGACTCCATCCTCCAAAAAAAAGTCCATCTCCCTGTGTCTGACTCAGGCTCCAGGTCTTTAGCCGGCCACCTCCCTGGCTGGGGCGACCCTGGGTGTCAGTGGGTGCAGAGGTTCAGGGGGCTCTGTGGCCTTCACAGCAGCTGACTGCAACTAGTGTCTCGGAGCCCCATAATGCTCCATTTCCCATCTCTGACTTTACTCATTCTCAGCACTTCCCTAGGAGACATGGCAAATAAGACCTCTATCTCAGGAATGGTAGAATGGGGGCCCCCCAAATGGAATGACTTTCTGAGGAGTCAGGGTGGGGCACTCCTCTACTCATCGGTCTCAGCCGGTACTCTGCTCGATTCACTTCTGGTGTGAGCCCCTGCAGGTTCAGTAATCAATGACTGTAGGTAAGATCCCTGCCTCCCAGGACGAATGGCTGGTCAGAGGGTGGCAGGCATTTGGGGGCTGGGTGTCAGAGAGTCATTCCAAGTTTCTGGACCTTATGCCTCTCTCCCTGGCCAACACCCATCTCAGCCACTTCCACATCAGCCACTTTCCTTCTTCCCGAGAGAGGCCTGGCAGTGACACACCATCCACCCCCTGCCCTGCAGCCCCACCATTGCCACCTCCAGCCCCATAAGCAGGGCCCTGTGGGAGGGAGCAACTGCAGAGCCTTGAGTTAATTGCCTGGTTAACTGTGTCATTTCTTTGCTAATGGGCATCCAAAGGGAGGGCTGTCCTGGGAAACAGACGCAGCCAGAAGATGGGGCTGTCCCTGGGGAGGCCAAAGGCCTTCCTGGAACCTGTGTGGCAGGGAAATGAAGGCAGGCTCAGGGAAGAGCCACAGCCCCATGCCAGTGCCTCAGGCCACCATGTGCCTCCCACTTTACAGCAGCACCCCCAGCACACACAGCCCAGCCCCATAGCACCCTGAGACTGTTTCCTGTGGTGTAGAAACCACAATCAGGGAACCAGATTCCACTTAGGGGAACAAATACAGCTTAATTCTTGATGCCCTACCTCCTTACCAGGCTTCCCTGTTGCCCTTGGCTGTTGGGGGGTGGTGGGTGCGTTCCACCCTCCTTCTCCTGGCAAATTAACCAGTCAATGAGGCCAAATGTGTGTGTGTATCACTTTTTTTTTCTTTTTTCTTGTTATAATTTTTTTTAAAGACGGAGTTTCGCTCGTTTCCAGGCTGGAGTGCGATGGTGTGATCTTGGCTCACTGCAACCTCCACCTCCCAGGTTCAAGAAATTCTCCTGCCTCAGCCTCCCTAGTAGCTGGGATTACAGGAGCACACTGCCACACCTAATTTTTTAAAAATTAGCACAGCTAATTTTTTTTTTTTAAAGAGACGGGGTTTCACCATGTTGGCCAGGTTGGTCTTGAACTGCTGACCTCAGGTAATCCACCCGCCTCGGCCTCCCAAAGTGCTGGGATTACAAGCGTGAGCCACCACGCCCGGCCCTTGCACAGCTAATTTTTTTGTATTTTCAGTAGAGACGGTTTCGCCATGTTGGCCAGGATGGTCTTGAACTCCTGACCTCGGGTGATCCACCTGCCTCAGCCTCCCAAAGTGCTGGGAATACACGCATAAGCCATCGCATCCGGCCCAGAATATATTCTTTGTTGCCCTCCTGTTTGTGTCCAAATCTTATTTCCTCAAACGCTAGGGGTCTCTAGATAGTACGAACTGGCAGCCCACAGGCCAGGTCTAGTCCACAGATTGGCCCATTCCACTTATATATGTGACCTGCCTGGTCCTGGCAGATTCCTGAGTCCAAAGCTCCTGTCCTAGAAGGAACGGTGGCCATCTGTCTCCTCTTTGTGCCCACCACAAGGCCTGGCCTGCTACAGTCTTTGTATTTTTAGCCACAATGAGTGGAGTTGAGCATGGGTGGGACTGAGGGGCTGGGACAGACGGTTTAGGTCTCATGTAGCAACTGGAGTCTGAAACCATCCCTCATGTCCACAGAAGCTAGAAAAAGCTAGGAGGAGGAGAAGCAACTAGACATGCACATAAATTATGCACTTTGCAGATTGCCCAATGCAAGCGTTCCTCTTAGGTGAGATTTCTCCTTGAAGCCCTTGACCAGGCCTTGGTTTGCATGTCATTTTGGGGAGGGAGCAGGTTGGGGATTTCTATCCCAGAACACCTCTGGAAGGCTACCAAGTGCCCAAACAAGTGGTAATTGCCCCCAGAGCAAGGCCAGGAACTCATGCTAAGCAAAATCTTAAAATTGAGGTTGGCCAACCACAAGTGGCCAAGCCAATCTGCTATCCTGCTCTGGGCAGAGCCTGCGGAGCTGACAGTCGGGGGCCTTTATCTGAACAAGCCCAATTTATCTGCAGTTCCACTGAATATTCCCACTTTCATTTGCCACTTTTTAATGAGGCTTAAACGGTCGAACACAAATCAAGGTTTTAGGGACTCAAGTTCTAACCTCCCTCTATGAATATTTATGTCCTGCTGACAGCTCTCTCTGATTCCCTTCTAAATAGCAAGTTCCCCTTCTTTATAACCCAGCTGCTTGATGTGGGCTAAGTGAGGGGAGGCTAAGGCTGTCAAGAGGCTCTTCAGAGGCTACAAACCCATCTTCAGAAGGTGACCCTGCTGGGTCCCCAGCACCGGGCCTGGTTCGGAACGCTGAAAATCAAACACGCTGCAGCATTTGCTGACGCAGGAGCCAGCTGTCACTATGGGTGCAGAGACCCCAGGGGACCTGGCTGCAGAGGCAGGGAGGGAAGGTTGGTCCAGACACCTCTTTTAGTTGTGGCTGGGGTCAGGAGTGGTGGCTATAGAGCAGAGCTGACACAGCAGGATGGGCCTGGAGAGGAACGTCGGAGAGGACCCAGAAAATGGGCCTTAAAGGAAATCCCAACTTGGATTTTCAGCCAACTCTCAACCACGTGCACACGGGTTATGCACTTTGTAGACAACCCGAGACAAATGTGCAGTCTTTGGTTAGTCCCTCCCTGCCACAACCAGGCTGAAGGCAACAGGATGAGAGCCCAGATCAGGACAGAAGACATGGGGGTTAGGACCAGATGAGACAAATGTCAAGAAGATTCTAGAAGTGTAAGGGCCAGAAGTGGGCATTTGGGAGCTCAAGTGCCCAGGAGCCTGTCATCGTGGTTCAGGGTGAGTGGTAAGGAGCATGGGTTATAATCAGTGCCCTCGGCTGTCACTCACTTGTGGTACGACCGGGCGAGTCCCTTAGTTCTATGGCTCAGTTGACTCACATGTAAAACAAAGATAACTATGTTTCAAACTGGAGCAACACAGGTAAGGTGCCCAGAACACGCTTTACATGATCAGAGTTCAGAAAGCGTTTGCCATCTTTATTATCCGAGAGTGATTTGCACTGGATCTTTGGAGAATAAAAGAAAGCCTAGTTAGTCCGTTGCAAGAGGAAGAGAAGGTGATAGAAGCAGGGGTGTGAGGTGGAGAGGAACCTCCATGGGTTGCTGACGGGCAGCACAGGGAGGAAAGCCCCTCTAGCTTGGATGTGGCCATTCCCAGTCCATGAAGGGGTTCAACAGGGAGGGCCCCCAGGGTAGATGTTGGACTGCAACAGGCCACAGGCCAGCTCGCTCTGCCTGCTCCAGACATGGCATGCTGGGAACCTTGCCATCTTGTCCAGGGAGGAAGCTGGGGTGGGCCTCCGGAGCCAGGGCTGGTTGCAGACATGGCGCCTAGTAGAATCCTAGCATGAGAGGCCTGGAGCCGTGTCCAAGGTGGAACAGCCACAAGGTGGCCTGGGCATCAGTAGGTATCTGAGGAAATGTGGAACGGCTGGTGAGGCCTGGCAACCAGAGCCAGGACACACCCACACCTGAAGAGGCCCCATGGAAGGGATCCGACCAAGCCCAGTGGGAAGAGAAAGGTATACTCTGAAGGCCACGGCGGCTCCCAGGACTCCTGCCAACAGGCTGCA